TACTAGTGGTGAGCAAGTGTATTGCATCTTATTCAAAATCAATGCAGTCCCACGGCCCTCTGCGGCCCAAAGTTAAAAACTGTTCTTTTAAGGCCTTCAAGGTGGCGCTCGCGGCCCATGGGTTCAGAATCTCTGCTTTACAGTACTCTTCCTGCAGTTCCCCTGTTTTACAATAGATGTCACTGTGGAAACTATAACACTGCTATGCTGCAGGGACAGCAGCAGAAAAAGACTTTACAGGATAGAACCTATTGGTTGAMTTTTACGTCATGGTATTCATAACAATGCTGTTACTGATTTTAGATTCCTGGTGCACTTTGTTACCACTCGAACACTGTTTGACAAAGAAAAAAAATGAAATTGTGAATATCAGCATAACCTCTACAGTCAGATCCTTAAAGCGCCTGTTTTAGTAAAGATTTCTGCAGTTGGGTATGTKTGTGGGTGTGTGTGCGCACATTTCCAGTGACAGGTCATCGCAGTAGCTTTTTTTTCCAGGGATTCTGATGCGTGTGCTGCAACCTTGTCTCCTTTGTTTATCGAATGCCATCGCAGGCCATTCACACTGCCTGTGTGTACAAAGCTGACACATATACACACACACGTTGTGCCAGCTGCACTGCTTGACCCCAGAGGTGTTAGTCAGTGTAAAATATCACAGTTCTCATTACTATTTGGCTTCCAGGAATATCGCTGAGCTTTGGTAGGCGTGCTGCTGCAGGGCCCTGTTTTAGTAAACACTTCATAGAACTGAATAGCTGCTAACTGACCAGTGAGTAAATGAACATAACAGAATGTCATTAGCTTCTCTTGCTAACAAACTTTATGAGATTTGTTTTAGCCACTGGAGTAGAAACCAGCTTCTTAACAGTTCAGAATAATTTCATCAATATGAAAGCCTTTTTGGAGAAAGTTGAGCTGCTTTTGAGAAAGTTTATGATGTGTAAATTAAAGTAATAGAAGTTGTGTCATASTTTCCTCATAAGTCTATTTACAGGCAGTTCTCGTGCAGTTTGAACCTGTTTCCAAAGAAATTATGCCTAAATGAGTGACTCTAAGATGAAAAAAAATAAAAAATAAATAAATAAAATAACAATTTCAAACATTTTTCAACACAACTATAAAAACTTTAAATCTCTAAATCTTCTTATTGGATTAAATGCAATGATAAAAGTTATGTTTTGAGCTGATATCTGGACTGGGAGACACCATCTTTTATAATTGTGTTGTTGGTTTCTGCCAATTCCACTCTTGTTGTCTCTGTTATTGCATTAATACGAAAAGATGCAATCATTTCGCTCTACATATTCATTTTGTTTGAGTGTTACTTCAAGGGATCTCCGATTAGTTGTAACATTAGACTTTATTTGATAAAGATTTAATTGAACTGTAAAATAAAGACTGTAAAAATACTGTAGGATGTTTAGTTTTGTAAATTTTTAAATATATATTTTAACACGGACGGAGCCATTTTATTTACACGCAAAGCATTCTGGGTAAATGATGACGTGGATAGGTC